TTTGAAGAAGGGTCTAGGCCCGAAACGTCAGCCTTCCTGCCCCTCTGATGCTGCTTGGCCTGCTGTGTTCATCCAGCTCTACATCTTGTTATCTCAGATTCTCCAGCATCTGCAGTTCCTACTATCTAAGTCAGGATGGTGTGTGGTTTGGAGGGAACTTTCAGGTGGTGGTGTTCCCATACATCTGCTGTCACTGTCCTTCTAGGCAAGAGAGATCATGGGGTTGGAAGGTGCTGTTGAAAGCACCTTGGTGAGTTATTGCCGTGCATCTTGTAGATCCTAGGCACTGTTGCCAGTATGTCAATGATGGAGAGTGAAACTCCTTTGTCCTGGATAGTGTCAAGATTCTTGAGTGTTATTGGATCTGCAGTTATCCAGGCAAATGGAGTGTACTCCATCACATTCCTGAGTTGTGCCATGCAACTAGTGGACAGTAACTGGGAAGGCAGGAGGACAGTTGCTGCACAATTCCTAGCCAATGAGATGCTGTTGTAGCCAATGATTACATGGCTGGTCTGATTCTGATTAATGGTAACCCCCAGGATGTTGGTGGGAGATTCCGTGATTGTAAAAGTCACAATGCCAAGAGACAATGGTTAGCTTGGTGCCTTTAATTGCACCAAGGGACAATGCCATACTCGGTCAAATACTACCATGACATCAAAGGTAGTAATACTCACCTCACTTCTCTTTTTGTCCATGTTGGCTGTAAGGAGGTCAGGAGCCCAATGGCTCAGGGAGAACCCAAACCGAGCTTCAATGAGCGTGAGATTCTGCTTGATAGCATGTCAATGATTCTTTCCATCACTGATGATTGAGAGCAGACTGACAGGGCTGTAACTGGCCTGGCTGGATTTGTCCTGTGTTTTGTGCACAGGACATATCTGGGCAATTTTCCTGATTGCTAGGTAGATATTAGTGTTGCTGTTACACTGAAAAAGCTTGGCTAAGGGCAGTTAGTTCTGGAGCACAAGTCTTTAGTACTAAACCATATATACTATACTATACTATACCATACCATACTATAATGTTGTCAGGGTTCACAGACTTTGCAGTATTTGGTGTCGTCAGCCATTTTTTGATTCATTCAATGTGAGATCCAGCTTGAGGGGATCACAGGAGTAGGCCAAGATGAATCATCCACTCAGCACTCCTGGCTGAAGGTGGATGTAAATACTCCAGCCTTGTTTTTTGCACTGATGCGCTAGGATCCTCCATCACTGTGATTGGGACATTTTGTTTAATTGTCCACTACCATTCATGACTAGAAACAGTAAGACTGTAGAACTTGCATCTGATCTGTCAGTTACGGGATCACCTAGCCCTGATTATTGCATGCTGCTTTTGTTGTTTAGCGTGCAAACAGACCCATTTTGTAGCTTTATCACATTGATATCTCAAGGTCTTGAAATGTCATCCTTCATTGAACCAGGGCTGATCCACAGCTTGATGGTAATGGTATAGTGGTGGTATGCCAGGTCAGAGTTGATTGGGGTTGAGTACAATTCTGGATCTGCCAATGGTCCACAGTACCGCATGGATGCTCCAGGTTTTGAAATGCTGCAGCAACTTGCTGACTTTTAGCATGGTAGAGATGCCACACACTGGTATCCTTATTGTGAAGATGGGATTTCATCTCCAGAAAGTCTGTGCAGTGGTAACTTTTACTGATACGGTCACAAATGAATGCACCTGTGACATGTAGATTAGTGAGGACCGGGTTAGGCAGATTTTTCCCTCACCATCTGCCACAGACCCAATCTAGCAGCTACAGCCTTTAGGACTCCGCCAGCTTGGTAGTGCTTCCAAGCCACTCTTGGCTACAGACCCCCACTCAGAGTACATTTATTCTATGCACTTGCCAACCTCAGTGCTTCCTCTAAGACACACCACAGCAGTGACTTCAGAAATGGAAGTCAATGTTGTGATCAGCACACCAAACATCAAATACTGTGCACAGAACATCAAGAGACTGCACCAGAAGCTTACAGAGAATATTGCGTATGACTACTTTGTGGAACATCTCCCTTCAGTCTGCAAGCATGACCGAGACTAGTTGCTTTTAATTCTTCACTTGCAGCCATGGTGATCTTTCCATAGCTTGTCTACAGTGAAGCTCTACATTTTGTTTCTTTCCTTATACTAGCAATGATGCTTTCAGATGTTACTTTTGTAGCAATTATCACTTTATTTTGACTCAATCTTTTGTCTTTAAATGCATCTTGTCCTCTACCCTATGATAGGCCCTCTCCACTGTTTTTCTGCACTCTTCCCCTCACTTAAAAGCTCTTACATTTCTCATTGACGATTTTTCATCAGGACTAAAGACAATCTGAACCATTGGCTTTCCTCTCCACAGCTACTGCTTGATCTGCTGATCAGCCTTGTCTTATAATTACGAGCTCTCCCATAAGAACAGTGACCTTAAACAAGGCACCACAAGTTAAGACTGAAACTTCACCACATTGCTAAAGTGACCAGGGACATCAAAAAGAGCCACGCTTCCTATAAAAAAAGTCAATAATTGCCAGGAAGAGTTGAGGATCTTAACTCAATAGATCTCGTCACGATCGGGATACATATTCAGTTCAATAAGCACCAGCCTGTTCAGATTCAGTGCCAAATACGAACATTTCTCCAAAATGTAAAAGATAGAACTGATTGACCCAGGAACTGACAATGCCACGTTTCAAAAACAGTATTCAATTTCTTTTCTTAACTAAATGCAATTGTCACTACTGAAGTTATGGAAAGTTTAAACACCTAAGCTCAATTTGAATTACAAGTTACGGACAGAATTTACTTGCCGCCAGCACGGCAGGATATACTTAAAAACCAGAAAGTAACTTTCAGCGGAAAGTAAACTCCGATCAGAAAACAAAGTGCAGTCAAGATGTAAGTCTAATACGATCAGATTAATGTTGGGATGCGGGAATGTTTTTGTATTTAGTTGTTTCTGGAGCCTAACGGGAGGGTGTACACGCTGTGAATGCCCAGCCTGTCACCATCACCTCCATCCCCACAGACCGCACATCCCTCACGGCCAGCCACAGGCCGCGGTGAGACCACGACATCGGGGGTCCCTGTGCCCCTTACAGACGGGACGGAGTGCGGGGCATACAGAGTACGCTCTCAAAATGCCGCGCTAACGCCAGACCACATCAGCCGAGCCGCACCACTGACCGAAGCACAGAGTGAAGTCACTACTTCTTTCACCTCCAGCTCCACGCTCGCCTCCCTCCGAACAAAATGCCACCACTCAACACTACCGCGCATGCTCGGAGCGGGAATCTCGCGATAACCGTCCCCGGGACACGTCACGGAGAGTGCGGTCGAAGGGGGCGGGGCTGTGGTTGACTTGGTAACGAGGATGGGATATGGTCTCCCAGGGTTTTGAAAATGTCTGCTTTGTAAATGCCCATTCTCAATTTGCACTGTCCTTCTGCGGTCAATGTTTGTGTATTTGCTTTTTTTTTATCAGTTTGTCTCTTTGATTATATCTCATTTGGGCCATTGTTTATCCTTTGGGACAAAGATGGTGCAAGGTATTTGGTAGCTAAGACTAGTGTGTGCCCACAGGTTCTGTTGCAGTTTTGGATGGATTGCTGACTTGGGATTTCTGTTCTCTGCGCTTTCCCTCTGCCTCTCACATGCTTTCTCAGAAGTAATAACCAGTTTGGCCTGATATGGAACCCTTACAAAAGCTGATACCATAGTTGTTTTGGTCTGACCTTAATACTAGTCATTCTTTTGGTCAGAAATCAGGCACCAGTAGCTTTGATGACATTTCAGCATGGAGTGATATTACTGTGCACTAATGTCATGCTCATTACATCATTTTGCTTGCTTATATATAATTTCAATAATCAATTTCAGCATTATATTTGTTACCTCATTTGTCTTTGTTTTATGTTTAGATAGCTGACTCCCCACCACCCTCAAAGCTCAATAACCACTGTCACAGCCTATTCTTCCAATATCCACTCTCACAGCTCCTGAATCCCCTGATTTCCCCACTACCCTCAAAGCTTCCCCTGACACCCCACCCTCATGGCTTGTATCACCAATCCTGTACGTGATTCCCCATCCCCACATCTCCAGCACCCCTAATTCCCCAACTTTATGTATCACCCCAAAGCCCCCACATATTGAGGTCCTGCCCCCTCACTAGCAACCTTCACAGCTCATTCACCTCCCCAACCTCTATGCTGTCTTCTTTTGTGATTGGATCAAACCCCAGATGAAAACACGTAAGCGACATGTTCATTGTGTTAAATAAAAACTGAAAGAAATTGCTGGAAAAGCTTAACAGATCTGGAGCATCAATGGAGAGAAACCAGACTTAACGTTTTGGGTTCAGTGACCTCAGAAGGGGCACTCAACCCAAAATGGTCATTTTTTTCATTTTATAGAGTTAAGATTTGATGGCTGTTGTGATGCAATGTTAGTATTCCTAATTTTGGACCCAGGCCTGGTCTAAAGTGGAACTCACTCCAGAGGTATGTGTTTGAATGGGTTAATTAAAAAACAAAATAAAAACAGAATGATGATTGAGGAATTCTATACTATTGACAACATGTTTCCATGTATGGAAATGTCAACAGCCATTCACATCATGCTCATGTTTGTGTATGCTTATATAAATGTATATGCAATCGTTAGTTATGTGTAAGTGATCAATACTCTCTTTGTCAGCTGCAATCTTAAAACAATGAAGATGTTACATTTTAACGACCTAGATCTTCAAACTTTTTTGAATTGACGGTGGGTGGGCATTGTATTTCTCCTTGATCCTGGCTGTAGCTGCATTGAATTATAGGATCAGGTACACTGGGGGATAGGGAACATTATGAAGCTGGGGTTTAAGTCTTTAATTGGAACAGCTGGTCAGTTGCAATGATGTAATTCTTGTATTTTCAACTTTTCAGGTATTGTGGTTATAGCTGCAATGCAGAGGTATCCAGGATTGTGTCCATTCAGAAAAACATTAAAACATTTAAGCTGCAATCTATCCCAGCATGGTATTTGGATCAATGGATTAAGTGAGCATCAGAAAGTCAGAGCAGTATAAATTTAAGGGATACATATGGAATCCTGATGACTTACAAAGCAAAAATCATGTAGCTTGCAGGTAAGCCCGATTAATCAATGAAACAGTTTATGTCTATTCTCTGCATCCTGTCTCAAGAGTCTCCTGAAGAGATAAGGGCAGAGAGGGCTAATCACAGGTGCTGAAGTTGTCGCATCTAGGATTGCTGTGTGGAATCAGAAAATGCTGATGATACTCCTAGTCTGAGCAGAACCATACAGGTGAAGAGCGCTTTGGAGGCCACTAGAGGGACGAAAATACATACTCAAACTACTCATTCAATTTTTCAAAAGTATTACAAATTTGAGATATAGTACTGCTGAACCGCAGAGACCACATGGTGTACGGAACTACACAACTCATCATGGTGCCAACTGCCTAACCCCTAATTTCTGTTTGTTGATGGAAGGACAAGGGAGGCTGGACAGAGAGCACCGAGAAGGAACAGTTGCAGAGTCTGCTGGACACATCAAGGTAGAAATGGAAGTCCTCATGCAGAATGTGATGGCCTCCCGAACTGTGAGCTGCAGGAGACCATAACATGGTTCGTCACCTCCAGGCCAGAATAGACCAGCTGTAGGACCTTGATTGCCATCTCGAGGAGGAACTCCTGAGCTGCTAAAGCCATTTGATCAGCGGAAACATTGATTCCTACTTTAATTTTTTCTTCAGTTCGGAGCATAGCATTGGGTAAGAAGAGAATAAAGAAGTTTCCTTTTCTGTCTCCTGTTGTAGTATGACCACCATAGAGAATGGATCCCATCAGGCATGTACTGCCCAAATTGATGCAGGTGGCTTGATGCAGGTGGCTAAGGACTCCATGCCTCCATCAACTGGCACAGATAGAGAATCTGGTCCCTGGTCAGAGACCTTCTTTACTCCCATCAATGGGATACTAATTATTCTCACTCCCATTCTACCAAGTTGTGGTTTGTAAAGCACCTCTAGTATTACAAAGATGGTGTAAGGATAGTAATCTGTCAACAGTCTTGTAACTCCAAAGCATTTCATCCATGTGTTTTTACTTTATCCAAATCTAGTGAACATAATTTCCAGACCTCCAAGGTAGAAAACTGATCTGATGAAGGGTCTAGGCCCGAAACGTCAGCCTTCCTGCTCCTATGATGCTGCTTGGCCTGCTGTGTTCATCCAGCTCTGCACCTTGTTGTCTCAGATTCTCCAGCATCTGCAGTTCCTACTATCTCTGTCTTTTTCCTAACATGTGCAACTGCTGGGTGGCATACAGATAATGATGCTGCAATAGGAAACTGTTCTTGTTTCAAAGATGAACTCAGTGCTTGTAAAAACCCCAGCTGCAGCTGTGTGAAGCTCCAAGATACTATTCATAAATGGGAATAATCCTCCCAATCCACAACCTGCACTTTCTCCAGTTAAGTGTTAAAGATGAGCCCATCACACATAATAATAGTTTTTAATTATGCAGCCGCTGATGATTCATATTTCTCCCTTCTTTTCCCTCGCCATCTGTAGCTTGCTTTAGCTGCCACCTACATTTTAAAGTGATCCCCGATGAAGCGTCAACAAGGACCAAGCCAAAGTCAGCAGTTCTTTCTCAGAAAAGACAAGATTTGAACAGATCCAGAAAAGGCAATGCAGTGATCCAGTTTGGCTGGGAGCAAATAGTTCCTTTTAGTAATTGTCTTTTGTATATTGGCTGTGCACTTTCAGTTACATTCCCAATAAAAATACCTTTCAAATTATTAAATGTATCACAATTGTTGATGTTATATGCACTCTCATTCAGCTGCACAACACCCACCATGCAGACTTTTACATCTACATTCCCATTGACCCCAGTAAAATATGGAGAATCCATCAGGACAGCACCTATATCGACCACGACACACAGCAAAATTCACTGCAGACAGAGTGGTACCATAATGTGCATTTTGAGTGCACTTTAGCCTATAGTGCACCTTGACCAGTATGACTTGCACAATTACCAGTATTACTGGCTTCATAACGAAGATCAATATTAGCTGCATAAAGACCAAATTTTCTGGTGTCCAGACCAATTTTATCTACCGGCCTTAATGGCGACAACACATTTGTCTTTAATTCGTTTAATACTACTGAGGTTTCCTGTCTAGGCTTCCTTTTGAGGGAGGCTGAACTACGTTTTATTTAGTTGGTCCAGGTGCAATGATTCTGGGCAAGCATTTCCCAAGACATGAAGTTGATGCCAAAATGTCTAACTGAAACCTTCACAGGTAACGTTCCCTTTGACTGCCAGGAGAGCAACCGCAGAATCGGACATTCTATAGAACATTTGCTTTGGCAAGCGAGTATGAGCATTCTGGCTATATGACTGACACAACATTATAATTCCAGCCGATGTTATTACCGGACAAGCCAGATCCCAGACAGGAACCTGGCTTGATAGATCATATTTGGATTTGTTTTGGCTTTAACAATTGGTCTTTCAATGAAACATAAACACAGGATTCTGCTGATTTTGCTTCAACAATAAAACAAGTTTATTAACAAAAGAAATTAAGATAAAATAGAATAATCCAAACCATCTACTTATAATACAATTTCAAAGATTTTGAAACAGACAATAATCTCATTAATACAACACTCTTTTGTGACTTGAAAAGATACAAAACAGCTTTTGTATAGTAGCCAAAACATACTCCTGGCATAGTGCCTCAAATACCACTCATACAATGCTCATATAAGAATCCCTCTGCCCAGCAGCTTGGTAGGTTTTAATCAATTGTGATTTCAATTTTTAGCCTGCAACTTCAGGTAGCTTCATAGAATCCTCACAGTGTGGGAACATAGAACATAGAACATTACAGCGCAGTACAGGCCCTTCGGCCCTCGATGTTGCGCCGACCTGTGAAACCAATCTGAAGCCCATCTAACCGAAACTATTCCATTATCATCCATATGTTTAACCAATGACCATTTAAATGCCCTTAAAGTTGGCGAGTCTACTACTTTTGCGGGCAGGGCATTCCACGCCTTTACTACTCTCTGAGTAAAGAACCTACCTCTGACATCTGTCCTATATCAATCACCCCTCAATTTAAAGCTATGTCCCCTCGTGCTAGCCATCACCATCAGAGGAAAAAGGCTCCCACTGTCCACCCTATCTAATCCTCTGATCATCTTGTATGTCTCTATTAAGTCACCTCTTAACCTTCTTCTCTCTAACGAAAACAGCCTCAAGTCCCTCAGCTTTTCCTCATAAGACCTTCCCTCCATACCAGGCAACATCCTGGTAAATCTCCTCTGCACCCTTTCCAATGCTTCCACATCCTATAATGCGGTGACCAGAACTGTACGCAATACTCCAAGTGCGGCCACACCAGAGTTTTGTACAGCTGCAACATGACCTCATGGCTCCGAAACTCAATCCCTCTACCAATAAAACCTAACACACCGTATGCCTTCTTAACAACGCTATCAACCTGGGTGGCAACTTTCAGTGATCTATGCACATGGACACCGAGATCTCTCTGCTCATCCACACTACCAAGAATGTTACCATTAGCCCAGCACTCTGTATTCCTGTTATTCCTTCCAAAGTGAATCACCTCACACTTTTCCGCATTAAACTCCATTTGCCACCTCTCAGCCCAGCTTTGCAGCTTATCTATGTCCCTCTGTAACCTGCAACATCCTTCCGCACT